CCCCTCGGCCGGGAAACGGGCCCGGGCACCGCGCGGGTGGGTCCGGCCCGGGGGCCCAGCGGTGATGCTTACCGAGCTGTTGCTTTTTGCAGTCTCGAAGATATGACTCCAGAACGACCATCTTCTCTCCAGAAGGTATTTAAGCCAAGTGTGCTGTGCAGCTTGTCAGAGCTCTAGCAGACCATGTGTGCAAAGGTTGGTTGTTTATAGCGTGTTTTCATCTGCGGGTGAGCTGCTCAAATCGTCTTTGCCCGCTGGAAGTAGCACCCAGTTGTGTAAGGACACTGAGGGTCTGGAGTGGAGACTTCCACGTTCGTTCTGGTTGAAGCAGCACTGAGACCATGTCCCATTAGTGAGCAATACCACCTGACATGTTTTTTAAATGACCATTTACCTCTTACTTGAGTATGGTTGGGTTTGTCACTGCCCTTCAAGAGCGGCTAATATCCTGCTGGTGCAATCACACCTCTGCACACACAAGTACATACCACATTTTCCTGTTTCTGAGGTGGGATGGACTCCTAGTATCAAATATTTTCTTTGATTATTGACATCCATTTTGGCTCGTTCTGCTGCAGCAGAGTCTTTGTTCTTCCCAAAAAAAGGGGTTTTCCCCCTTGTCCATGTCCATCCCCAGATTTGTGGATTTTCCTCCTCTGACTCCTTTCTCCTTTGCAACCCATTAATTTCCAATCAGCTGGGAATAGACTGAAGGAGTGGAGGTTGTCCATTGAGCACCTGTCAGCTCCTTCAGCATGTAAATCCCCTGGTGTCCTTGGTGTTGTGCAGTGCTGGTTTCTGATGTTGCCCCTTGAAACCCTTGGCTAGGTCGCCTGTACCAGGTGGAATATGCCATGGAAGCCATCGGGCACGCGGGCACCTGCCTGGGAATCCTGGCCAATGACGGAGTTCTGCTGGCAGCAGAGAGACGCAACATCCACAAGCTCCTGGACGAGGTGTTTTTCTCAGAGAAGATCTACAAACTAAACGAGTAAGTTGAAATGATGAGCACGTGTCCAGTGCTGTTACCAGTAACAAAGCACTGATTAGCACTGCGTTGGTTTTATTTGAAGTGTTCATAACCTTTTCGTTGGGTGTTTGAGGTGAGTTTTGTCACTGTTTGCTCCCGTAGTTCTTCTGAAATAGAAGTATTGCTGGTTTGGGGTGGTTTTTGTATCTGTAGGTGGAATAGCCTCTTTGTTGGTACTACACCTGACAAGGTGATGGTATTGTAGCAGTTAAGAAAACTGGGAATTCTCAGTTTTCCAGAACCTCAGAATAAAGACTGCACACAAACCCTGCCATGCTGTTTTGGCTCACTATCCTCTTCTCAGTCTTTGTTTTGCATTGGTGACTCAAAGAGAACAGGACAATTGGGTAAAATGTGTTTTAGGCTTCTGTGCCGCAGTTGTAGCAGAGATGATCCATCTCTCTGCTACAACTTCCATTGCAGCTCTGTGAAAGTTAGATCTGCTCTGCCAGAGCAGAGCCTTATGGATTATGCTTACTTGCTTGTGAGGGAGGCAGAGCTTCAGCCTTGCCAGAAGGTGTACATGAAACAGAAATTGCTTTTCATCCTGTCAACCTCCCATTCTGTGTTGCTGTTGGAAGCAGGTGGAATGGTAGGAAGCACTGGATTTTCAAAGAGGCACAGTAACAGTGAACAGTGCCTGGAACAGGTCTTCCATTTTCTGGAAAATTCCTAGATTGACTAACCCTTTTTGTGCAGTGAAAGCTTTGTAGCGGGATCAGATGGGGATAGAGCTCTTAAATGAAGAGCTAACAAAATAATCAAGGAGGTGAAGTGTTTTTTCTTAGTGTCATATGAAGATGACTAAGTCTGAGTTACACAGGTGCCATGTGTGACCCAGCAGCTCCCACTTGCTCATACTTTTGGTGTACCCTTTTTTTTGACCTGGCAGCTGCCAGGCTTTGGTGAGACAAGCCTGCCAGGAGGTGTTGTGCCTGAACCCCTGTATGAAGAGGTGTTTGTTGGAGATGGCTAGCAGCTCAGTTCATCTGTGTGCTTTTATTGCAGGGATATGGCTTGCAGTGTTGCAGGAATAACTTCAGATGCCAATGTTCTGACAAACGAGCTGAGGCTGATTGCACAGAGGTAGGTCTGCTGATAGTTAACGTGGTTTTACTTGCCTGTGCTGTCGTTTAGTTCTCTTCATGGAACAAATCAAAATGAACATGCATTTAGTAGAGCAGAGCTAGAACAGCTAGATCAAAGAGGCTTTAATTTGGGAGCTTGTTTCCTCTTTGATGTGGTATAGGATACTGTCAGCAAAACAAGTATTGAAAACTGTTTTTTTTTCCCTCTGCTATTAGGTATTTGTTACAGTATCAAGAACCCATTCCTTGTGAACAGCTAGTGACAGCACTGTGTGATATCAAGCAGGCCTATACACAGTTTGGAGGTAATGAAGTGTGATGAATCACTGTGTTACTCAATGAATGTGTTGTGTTATAATGTGAAAGATTTAAGTCTCTGGACAGTTCTGCTGAATTCTTCTGTTGACAACTTATCCTGAGAAAAACAATAGCCTAATTTAAGAGGGGAATGGGTAGTCATGGTTACTGTTCTGCTGCTGAAGGTGCTACTTTTTATTGATTGGGAAATTGGTGGCTGATATGCCAACCCACTGCATGGAATCCTTGGAGTGCTCCTGTGTTTAATGAATGCCTTCAGAAGGCCAGCAGAGACTTGTTGACAGGCAACCTTGCAACATCTTGGGCCCATCCAGCATGGTGAATCACCCACAACACTGTGTGTAGGGGTATCAGTGTTGTAATGCTTCAAAAGAACACTACTGCTGTGGATCCAGGCAACATGTTACAAAAGGATGTTGGAAATAGTGTTCCCTTAGCGTGTGACCTGATGGTTCTGCTGCTTTACATACATGTGCTGTGAAAGAGTTGCCTTTTCATGCACCTTTTGACACCGTGCTAAGTTAAAGGCTTTAACAGCTAAGCTGCAGCCTTTAAATACTAAATTTTGATTTAAAGTCCTGAGATGATAAATGACAATTTGTGGAGATGGAAATGAGCTGCTCTTAGGGTTAAATGGAATAAACCTCTGCTTCCCCCCACCCCAGGGCTTCAAAAGAAGTGCTGGTGTGCTTATCTCAAGCAACAGAAGTGCAGAACTGTCTGTTAAATCCAAGTTCACAGGAATAATTTGGAAAAAAGAAATCAAAGGAAATAATTGTCACTCATGACCAATCCAGTTACTAAATTTAGATTGCTAATAGCCTTCTCTTCAACAGGAAAACGTCCTTTTGGTGTTTCCTTGCTCTACATTGGTTGGGATAAGCATTATGGATTTCAGCTGTATCAGAGTGATCCTAGTGGAAATTATGGGGGCTGGAAAGCTACGTGCATTGGGAATAACAGTGCTGTAAGATGGGGGCTGGAAAGCTACGTGCATTGGAAATAACAGTGCTGTAAGTTTTGTGCTTTGTCTTCTCAAAAAGACAGGGAAAAAATGTAAATTGCACTGGAGTAATTAAACTGAGCTGGTGATTTCTAGTGCAGAATTAGAGGTAATTGTAGAAATGCTGCAGTTACTCATAGTTTTGTAGTATGTCAAGGGATTGGAATGGACCATCCAGTGCCAACCCCCTGCCCTGGGTAGGGACACCTCCCACCAGAACAGGTTGCTCAAGGCTTCTTCCACCCTGGCTTTGAACACTGCCAGGGTTGGGGCAGCCACAGCCTCCCTGGGCAACCTGGGCCAGTGTCTCACTACCCTCATGCATTGATATTATCTGTCAAAAAACAGCTGTTTGGTTGATTGCCCATTTTAATTTCTGTGACATCTCTAGGCAGCTGTGTCCATGCTAAAGCAGGACTACAAAGAAGGAGAAATGACCTTAAAGACTGCACTTGCATTAGCCATTAAGGTTCTGAACAAAACCATGGATGTGAGCAAGCTCTCTGCAGAGAAAGGTAAGATGCTTTGCTGGCACAGGTAACACCTCTGCTTAAAACAGGGAACACAGTGAATGCAAGATGTGGCCTGTTGGATTTGTAGTTGTCACACAACAAATGTTCTACAAGGTGCAGCAGCTCTCAGTCTTCACCTTTCTAAGAGACATGGATAGCTTAGTGGAGGAGGATCCACGTTGGGCACTCCAGGGCTCCAGCAGTTTGGGGATTTGGGATCAGTGTGTGTGTCTGGGAGAAGGGTCCCTGGAGAGGTGCTGCCAGCTGCAGGAGGGCACTGCTGCTGTCTGCTGTGTAGAGGGAGGACAAGAGCCTTCTGCCTTGCTGTCAGTTGTGATCTCAGCTCTCACCCTTTTGATGCTTGCTGTGCCTCGAGGGCAAACTGTAACTCCACTGTCTGTTCCATGTGTTTCAGTTGAAATTGCCACACTGACCAGAGAGAACGGAAAGACAGTAATAAGGGTTCTCAAGCAAAAGGAGGTGGAACAATTGATAAAGCAACATGAGGAGGAGGAAGCAAAAGCTGAACGTGAAAAGAAGGAAAAAGAACAAAAAGAGAAGGATAAATAGAGTCTGAGATGAAGTGTTCTCTAGATAACACAGGACCTGCTTCAGCAAAAGATATTCTGGTTTCCTGCTCTGTACAAACCTACAACTATGCCATGAGGACCCAGAATTACTTTTGATGAACCAGGTCCTTAATCATCATTTAGATAATTAGCTTACTGCTCCTTCCATTGACCGATAATTGCTTTAACTCTTGAACACTCTATTTCTTTCATCTTCTATTTTTTATTATGGAATAAAATTTAAGACAAATAGTGATGGCTGTCTTTATTTCCTCAATAATGCCTGGAAATGCACAATCTTGAGGAATGTAATTGTTTTAAACCATTAAAACAAGGTATGTGCTAGTTGGTAAAGGAGAAATCTGGTGTTAGAACTGTTAGAATTTTTGTGTGTATGTGTGGGTTTTCCTTTTAAGGTAGTGACAAGAGCTCCTAAGTTTGAAAAGTCGTTTCACAAATCCAAAATTAAAGTGTGGTGGCATGGCAAGTTTTAGTTTTGGCCTATTTTGTTCTATAACAGGCTCTGGCAAACTGATGATCTTGCAAGCAGTAGTGTTTAGAAAATGCCCTGTAGCAAATGTGTTCAGATTCTCATCACCTCCACCAGTGCATGTGTTTTCTAGGAAACTCTCATACTACACTAGCTATGTTCACACAGACTGGAAAGACATTTTGCAAAGGCCGCATGAAAATGTGAATCTTGTCAAAATACAACTAGGTAAATAAAACAGTGCATGTTTTTAGGCCATGTTGACTCTTTTATCCTGAAAGTCAGATGTTTTACATTTAGTTTAGTGTTGCTGATATGCCCCCAGAGAATTTGGTTCCCTTCTCTGACACGACAATCTAGAAAACCAACCAGTTAACCACCTGGGAAATCATAATCTTTGGGTATGAATTAGAAGTGATAATAATTGGTGTCCAGATTGCCCCTGTACTGAATGCAATTTTCAGAGTAGCAAAAAATCTCTTGTACTTCTGAAAAAAAACCCTAAGTAGTGATCTGGAGTGAACAGAGGAAATGAAAACAAGTGATTCAAAATTCCTGCGCAGCCTTTCAGATAGCAGAAGGTGAAAAGCTGACGCAGGTGACATGCTTAAGTGTGAGGCCTTGGGAATTTCTGACTGACACTGGTGATCCACCTTTGTGCCCACCCTGGATTGTATCTCTTGTAGCTTTTCTAATTGGTTTGGTTTGTTGGTTTCTTTACCCCAAAGGATATCTGATGTAAACAGGATTTAACGTGGCCATTGAAAGAAACTGAATCCATACAGTGTTTTGTTGCTTTTAATCTAGCCCAGACTAAAATGGCCTTTGTCAACACGGCCAGAAATTCCCTTTCATCTCCACTAAACCATTTTTGGGCTCACTGCTGTAGGAGTCACTGTTGGGGACAGCAGGAAGGAACCTGACCTGAGGTGTCTAATGCAGCTTGTGGAGATCTCTGCAGGGACAAGGGTCTGTGGGATTTGTGCAGGACCTGCTTGGTCATCCTCTAACTCTCAGTGCAGGCCAATTGCTTTAGTCTTTCGTACTGAATTTAGCACTTTTTTTAGTAACCAAATTTTATAGCAAATAAAAGACTAACTTTTCTTTACACCTTGAGCAACAATAGGTCTTCCAAGTCAGGAATGGTGTTTCACATAACGAGTCCTGGATAGCTGCAGAAACATGCAGTGGGTAAGATTTAATCTCCATGGTAAAGGGTTGTTTAAATACCTCAAGCTCCATTTTTACATATTCAGTGCTCAATCTTTCTATTTTTTGATACCATGAATGCAGTATCTCAGCATCCTGTGCAGATTTCTGGGTGGCTGGTGATGGCTGGACAAGTGCTTGGAACATGCTCTAAAAGCAGCAATGCCAAAATGGAGTTTTTTCTCACTTTGCCAAGATTACTTGCAACAAAACCTGATGAACTCCAGCAGTGCTTTCTTTCTGCCTTCTTGGCAACTATTAGAGCATCTGAGCTTGTGTTCATTGATGTATATAGCTCACACAAGGCAGTGTGTTTAGTGCAGCTGTGTGTTATTAGATAGCTTAGGATATAAACTTACTAAGATATTTTTTCCTAAATGCATCTTTTTCTAACGAAAAGGGGATAACTCATATCTTCACCTCTTTGCTTAAAGAATTGCCAGTAGCATTTCTTTGCCAAACACTGGTAAGGGAGAACATTTTACATACTGGAATAACAAAAAGTTGGATGACCTAACTAATTTTCTGCTCTGTCCTCCATTAGGTATTGAAGTGTTGTGATAACCTGTGTAGTTACATTTGAAAAGGTTTTGTTTACCCAAGATAAAAGTACTGTGAAATACTTGGAGGATCATCTTGGAACAGTAATTACCAAACTAAATAGAACACCTTCTGAGTGCCATGAGTAGCTGATGGAGCCTCAGTACTGCCCTGGAATAGGCAAGTAGCTGTAGCTAGAACTCATAGCCAAGGTATGCAGCAAAGTTCTCCTGAACTAAATGTAATTTCTCACTCTTCTCTGCATTTGAGCCTAGGGCAGGAAGCAGATCCTGGAGACCTTTCATGCCTAGACTCTTCCTGATCCGTCCTTACGCTGATGCAAGTTCCTTAGCTGTTCTTCCCAGACCTAAGAGCAGTGTTTGACTGCATAGGCCTAGTGTGTTGATCATGGCTTTGTGTGTTGGGGAAAAAAAAAATAAAAAAGAGACAAAAAAATGACCACCATCTGTGCCTTTTCTGGGAGTGGTTTGGGGATAAGTCATAGGAACAGAAAAATGATTCTGGTGATACCTTTGAGGTATCTTTGCTAATCAAAACAATCTTCCTGTTCTTTGTGTGGGTTGTTTTTTTTGTTTTTTTGTTTTTTTGGGTTTTTTTTGGTGTACGTGGTGTTTACATAGAGTTTACAGTGTGTTACATAAGTATTTAGCTATTGCTGGGGATTTTAACACCAGAACTTCATGTGGTGCTGTGGGAGGTGACAGATTTTTCAGGTTAGGTAAAAGTGTTTATTTGAAACTGTTTGCATAATATGTTTGTAAACTTAAGACTGGATAGCTTATATCTTGCTTGAGTGCATGGTAGAACTTGCTAGGGCAAATATGCAAATACTCACAACTAGATTGTCCTAAGAAACTGTAATGTGGTTTGTTATTTTAAGTAGTTTAAGGGATGATGAAATTACTGCTTCTCCAGTAAGGCCTGTGCTGTCTCTTGCATCTGTCAGTGTTTCAAAATAGAGTTAGCTTGTTTTTTAGGTGACTGTATTCTGCTCAAATAAAGGCAAGTTCACTTCTAAGACTGCTTCTTATATGACCTCCTGTAGGTTTGATTCCCTCTTCATCCAGGTATTTTCCTTGTCAGTCCCAATAGCAAAAGACTTGCAATGTTAAATTCCACAGCTGCTTCTGGTCTGTTATGGATTTCCAAGGTAATTATTGATTCCTTCTCTTCATAACCTTAACACTGGAGACAACACTTCTCCACTGTGTTGTGAGAAGGAATAGATTAATGTTTGCAGGCTGTTCAAAGCTGTTCAAAGCAATGGTTTTAGAGGCCACAGAGCAGTGTGTGTTACACAGATAACACAGCTGAGTGTATACAAGACATCTGTGTCCAAGAAGTTAATGCACTCAGCTACTTCACACATGAGAGAAATTGTGTAGCTCTAGACTAGATGAGATTCTAGGACTTCCTTAAATGTCTTTACTTTCTTTGAAGAATATTTTCCATTACAGTTCTTACGTAGTAACAGTTGTCCTCAATTTCAAATTTTAGTTGCAATTATTTCTATCACAATATGGAAAACCCACTGAAGTAACTTGATCTGAGAGTTCCCTTCACTGGCTTTAATCTGGAGAAAATTCAGCTGCACAAAGTTTTTTGGAATAGCTCTGATTTTACAAAGAGAACTGGGCAGCTTTGCTATTTTTATCTGTGTTTAATTTGGCATTTGGCTTTCCAGTTAAACTGCTCTTGAGTGCACAGTAAAAGCTGCATCAGCCAATCTACCAGGAATTCTCAGAATATAGTTTCGTGGGGACTTCAGATGTCACCTCCTGCTGAGAAGGGCAGACATAGCTCATGTATTTAGGCTTTCACTTAATGACAAATATTAAACTTAATATGCTGCTGTTATTATTAGCAGCATGCTCCAAGTTCAAAGCAGCAGGACCAAACCAGCTGCTTATTTATAACTGCTATTTTCTAAACCACTAATAATACAACATCATTAACATGTGCCAGATGATGCTACATTAAATATTTAGCAAAATGTTGGGCATGTAACCCAGACAGTTTAATCCTTTTATATCTTCCAGCATCTGTTTTGCCTAGTTAGGATCCAGCTGCACACAAATCCAGAGTTATGTAAGAAAACCAGTTTGCTATGTCCTGCACGTTCGAGTGACAATTCTGCTCATCACTGTTAATGAGACATTCTGGCTCGAAAATGCATTTACTACATATATATTGCTAACAGAAATACAGATTTTATGTGACAACCTCATGTTAGGAACACCAAGGTGCAGTGGTGAACCAGTTCTCAACCAAAAATTGCAGTTGCAGTGCAAATACTGCACAGGAATCTTTGGAGCACTCAGAAAACATCAGAACTCCAGTGTGTCACAACGAAAAGAAAGGTTGGGGTTTGGGGTGGGTTTTTTGTGTCCTCCTTTGGGCTAAAATATGCTTTTTATTTACCCTAAAATCTTGGCTTGCCCACTGCACACACACTGAGTGTTTCAAAATAAGAGTCATGCTGCAGCCTGGAACACATTCGAGTGGGGAGGACATGCAGTGTACAAATGGATTCTCAATATAGAAAATGACCATATTTACTGCAGAGCATCCAAATCGATCCAGAGTGTCCCTAGAAGTGTGCTGGAAGAAACTCCAGTGTAAGCAGTCTGGATTTGGGTGCTGCATTATGCCTTGCACAGACATACACAACCCAACTATGGCTGCAGGGGAAGATGATACAGAAAAATAGCAGCTTAAAAATTAAGAAAGGGATTGATATGCATCAGAGCTCTGGTCTGGTACTGCAAAGCTTTGCAGCTTACACAGAGAGATGCACTATTTCTTTGGGAAGTAAACAATTGCTATGCAAGAATTTTAACAGCTGACAACATGCTGAATGAAATTGCTGCTCTTTTTAGAAAGAGAAAGTTGCTCAGATTATTTGAGTTAAATAAGGACCTTTTTCCTGAGGAATCTGCTATCTAGCATTTTTCATGCAGCAGCTAACACTGTTGAGACATTTAGTCCTTCTCTCCAAATCTTTTCTGTCTGTAAAATATGAAACAATATTTTGGATGTTAAAAAAAAAAAAAGAAGCTTTAATGCCAGCTGCTTCTATTTTCTGTGACAGCGTGTCCACTGTACAATTCCATGAGGATGATTTAGGGGAAAACAATCCCTAATTAATTTCACAGTTTGTGCATTGAAAGTGTCTTTTGTAACAAATCTTATTTATCTGATAGAGAAAAAAGGGGTGCTGTAC